CCTGTCGGGGAAGACATGTAATTTTGTCGGGGAACAAAAAAATAATTAAAAAAATATTTACATGTAATATTCGTTTAGCCACCATATTGTTTGTGTTAACTGTTCATCACAACAAAAACAACAACAATAACAATAATAATAATAATAATAATAATAATTATTATTCAATGAGAGACTAATTAAAAATAATTTGCGTTCTGTTATGACAAATGCTCATTTATATAGCTTCATGATGGTTGGAATACATCGTGAGGTGAAGCAACCTCGACCATGACAGATTTCATGCAAAATTTCCAAAATATAGAACTTCACTTTCAAGAATGAGGATTTGAAAATAAATTAAATGGTTACATTGCATACTCTTTGTTTCTTGCTTTATTCAGAATGTTTTGGTTTTGGAAGAAGCTGATTTCAACATTAGAAAGCATTGCCTACATGAAGTCATATTATAGTAACTCGATGACTATCAAATAAAGTAATAAAAATTCGCCATAATTCATCAAATATCCGTGGCTTCCAGGGGGGTGAAGCCCCCTGGACCCCCACCGGGGCCCTACGCGGCCCCCTGGCCCCCAGCCAAGTGAGACTCGATTCGCTCCACTAGCGCCCCCCCCCCCCCGTCGGGGCGTTTATCCCCTCCGTCGGGCAGCCGTCGGGCGTCGGGCAGGTCCTGGTGCCACCACTGTTTGAAATGTCATTTTACGAAGGACCTTAGAAACAGAGGTCACTCAATAACGTCATTGGTGACCGACTTCAAAGAACTTAAATAGCAGAAGAATGTGCTGCTCTGCGTATTTGCATTAAAATCGATGGAACATTCGCCCTCCTGCGGTTGCAGTAAAATTTTAATAAGTTATTTTGTTGTGCATGTACAAGTTGACATGCTAGTCCCAAAACCAGAGAAAATGTATCAAGTGTCACGTGATTTTAAGTCAATAGATAAGGAAGGGTTTTTGAAGGAGTTGCAGGAACTTACTGAGACCTACGTGCACCATGGGGATGTTGAATCAGCATTCCAGTAGTACAATAACTCACTGCGCGATCTTCTGGACATCTGTGAAGAAAAGGCAAGTACGTCGAAGGATGCCCTGGTACAAAGCTGAGGTTCACCTTGCTCGTCGTGAGAAACGTCAGGCTGAGCGTAAATGGAGAAGAACTTACTTAGATACTGACTATCAACATTTCTTGGTGAAGCAACGGGAAGTTACAAGTTTAATATGTCGTACAAAGATTGCATACTTCAAGAACCTGTCTGATACTCATGAGATAAAGGATATTTATAGGGTGTTAGATACTTAACAAAGAAAACAACCATCTCTTCCTGTATATAATTCATTGATAACATGTGTAACAATTTCTCCACTTATTTTTTGGATAAAATACATAAAATTCGGAGAGATTTATGTAATGACCATTTCAATGCAGTTTATGATCCATGTGAGAGAGATTTACAATGTTCTAAATCACTGTCCAGTTTTGACTTAATAAGTGAAGATGAATTGTTAAAAATTATACTTGCTTCAGCTAGTAAGTCATGTTGTTTAGACCCTGTTCCTACCTGGTTTCTCAAACAAAATATTAATACAATATGCTTCCTCTTGTTACAGACATTGTTAATGCTTCATTGGCTACAGGTTTGTTTCCATCTGCAGCAAGAACTGCAGTTATTAGACCGTTGTTGAAGAAATACAATCGTGATAAAAATTGTCTTAGTAATTACAGGCCTGTTTGAATCTTAGTTTTCTAGGAAAACTGATTGAAAAAGTTGTTTGTAGTCAACTCACAAATCATATGACCGAAAATAAGTTATAGGATGTTCATCAATCCGCCTATCGACCATATCATAGCACTGAAAGTGCTTTAATTAAGGTGAAGAATGATATCATGCTTTTATTAGACAAGGGTCATATTGTTCTATTGTTATCATTAGATTTATCATCAGCATTTGATACGATTGATAGGGAAATCTTGATGAAACGATTGTCCACGAGGTTAAGAGTTCGAGATGTAGCATTAAAGTGGTTTCGTTCATACCTTGAAACTTGGAAAACTTGTGTAGAAATAAATGGCACACAATCAGAGATAGTTAGTAATACAGTAGGTTACCACAGGGATCGGTATTTGGGCCTATAGGTTACACTATTTACACTTTGCCAGTTGCAGATATTGCCAGATTCTCTGGTGTCTCGTATCATGCATTTGCTGATGATACACAGCTTTATTTATCATTTCATCATAGGAAAGCAGATGAACTGAATGTGGTACTGCAAACACTGTCTTCGTGCATTGGAGACATAAAAGCTTAGATGTTAAAAAATAAACTTAAACTTAATGAAGATAAAACGGAATTTTTAGCCATTGGTTCACCAAATAATCTACAGAAGTTGGGCAGTATCGTTCTTAATATTGGGTCAACTGAAATATCACCGTCCACATCTATAAAAAATCTTGGTGTTTATCTTGATTGTAATATGTCAATGTCAAATCACATTGGAAATATTTGTAAATCTGTACGATTTCAATTGAAAAATGTATCACGGATTAGAAAGTACCGTTACTAAAGACGCATGTAACCATGCAGTGAGAAGTCATGTACTCTCTAGACTAGATTATTGTAATGGTCTCCTTACAGGGGTTACCCAGGCACACATTAGGAAACTACAAAGTCTTCAGAAACTACAACGTCTTCAGAATTGGTCTGCACGTCTCATATATCGTGAAGACAGACGTAGTGATGCCAGACAACTGATTAATTCGCTTCACTGGCTACCCATCAAAGAACGCATTTTATTTAAAATTCTTTTATTTGTATTTAAATTTTTCAATGATCAAGCACCAATATACTTCAGTAGTTGTTTAAAAGTTCATCATACATTACGACCAAATCTTCGCTCTGAATCAGACCCTTTTCGCCTTTCATGCCCCTTAGTTTATAGCAGATCAGGTGATCGTTCCTTTAGTGTAACAGCGGCCATAGAATGGAATAAACTCCCTAGCTATTAAAACAACAAATAATGTTGAATCTTTTAAAAAACTACTGAAAACATATCTTTTTTCAAAAATTAACTTGAGCTTATTGCTTCAAATCATTATTCAACTCTGTAAACGCTATGATATAGTTTTCTATGAATAGCGTATCTAAATACTAATACTAATAAGTGGAGAAACTAAAGGAAACAAGCGAACAAGAGCAGCGCCGTTATTATTTTTATATAGCGCCGCCGCGCGGTTGCAGTAAAAATGCTCTCCGTGTACCCACAATGCCTTTTGAACGGATGTTCCACTATATTGGGAATCTGTCATTTCACTTCGTAATTCGTGGTAGAGATTCTTGTGAGATATAAGCCTAGCGCATACGCAAATCAGAGAGCAATCGCTTGCGAACTGTCTTGGACACGTTTAGTACATTTCTCAAAAACTTTTGAGGAAATTCGTAAGTATATAATTTTCTTTTAACAAATTTTATGTTGATACCCATGGTTTATCGTCTATAAAAACAACCATGTCGCATGAAAGGGCTGGAGCATCCGCTAGTTTTATCCACGAAGAGTTGGATTTAGGACTAAACTTAGCCGACATCGGCATGGCATTGGCGCCACAGGATCAGGGTATATCTGTGAACCCACGTGGTGGTAACAAGCGGAAAGGCGATGCCCTTAACACTGAAGATGGAAAGGCAAAGGCAGACTCTCCTAAGAAGAAACATAAGAAGACCGATATGGTCGAAAAAAGATTATTAGATATGGAAGCCCAGATTCAACTGTTGACTCAACAGTTGAACGAGGCAGACCATGTTGATTCCGATGAGCACGACACGTGTGAGTATAGGGTGATATTAATATTATCGATCATACACACGACTCGTGTGCAGATGATTAAACAGATGATCAGGATCTTGGAGATATCCTTATAAATAATGACAAAAATTCAGAATCTGATAGGTCAGAATCTTCAACTTTCCCCAATCCTAATACTACCAGGGAAAAAAGGGGATTGCTGGCGAGATTCAAGACTAAGAAACAGTCATCGATCATCTTGCCCAGCATGATTGCCGACTCGGTAAATCTAATGTTGAAGGAGAAACTCGATGAAAAGATCGTCGACGATACGTGCACAAAGTACTTAGCACCTGTCAACACACCAAATCTTGTGGTTCCACAAGTCAATAACTCCATATGGAGCGGAATTTCACACCCTGCAAAATCTGCTGACTTGCGGTTTCAAAGAGTGCAGAAAAATATAATAGCTGCTATCTTGGCATTTGCCGCAACCCTCCCGGAAAACCCTACTGAACATGAGGAGGACATTTTGGCGTTACTTGGTAATGCAAATTTTGAGATTAACATGATTCGTAGAACCGAATTAAAGCCGCAAATTGCTGATAAATACAAACCAATCTGTAGGCAATCAAATCCTGTAACAAAGGAACTTTTCGGAGATGATCTGAATAAACAATGCAAAGACCTGCGAGAAGGGTCCAATGCCCTCTCTCACACATTGCTCCGACAAAATACGGCTGGAAACTCGGATCGGAGATTTTCAACTAAAGGAAAGTTCACCAGGGTTTTCAAAAGACAAAATTACCCAACGGGTAACAAAGGTCACTACACTCAGTCACCGAAGCCTTTTTTAGGCAACAGAAGAAAATGGCCCCAACAGAAACAGGAAAACCAAAAGAAACCACAAGCTTAGAAAAAGTAAGTGTGATGGAACCGACATTTATAGGTGGGCTAATAAAACAACATCTCTTAAACTGGCAGATGTGTACATCCGATATAAATATTTTAGGTATAGTCAATGGTTACTCAATAGAATTTAATGACGGTACGTTAGTCTCCCAACAAAAAATACCATATCCTTACAGACTATCACAACAAGAGCAAGACGCTGTCAGCTCAGAAATTCAAAAGTTACAATCCAAAAAGGTTATCAGATTAACATCTCATGAGAAAGGAGAGTTCATCTCCAATATTTTCACGCGACCCAAACGAGATGGGGGTCTGAGGATGATTTTAGACCTCTCAGAGTTAAATAAAAATATCAAGTATTTCCATTTTAAGATGGATTCTATTGAAAAAGCAATTTCATTAGTAACAAAAAATTGCTATTTTACCTCAATTGATTTAAAGGATGCGTACTATTCGGTACCGATAAACGAAAACCACGTAAAATATCTAAAATTCAGATGGAAAGGTCAACTATGGCAGTTTGTTGTGCTACCTAATGGTTTGTCCCCAGGACCTAGAATATTTACAAAGTTGATGAAGATCCCTTTGTCAATATTACGAACTCAGGGTGTAAACATCATGGCATATATTGATGACAACTTAATAATTTCAGACTCACAGGGGAAAGCACAAGCGAATACCAAAAAATCTATAGATTTGTTGAGGAAATTGGGATTGACCGTTCACGGGGAAAAATCAGTACTTAGGCCCACGCACGAAATAGAATTTTTGGGGTTTGTACTTAACTCTGTGGACATGAGAGTAAAACTAAATAGCCGAAAAATTCAGGAAATTATAAAATTTTCACAACTATTAATGAATTTGAAATCATCGTCTATCCGACAGATAGCTTGCTACATTGGGAAACTTGTGGCCACAATATCAGCATCGGATTTTGGAAAACTGTATTACAAAAGACTCGAGAGGGAAAAAATTAAGGCCCTCCGACAAAATCGTGGAAATTTTGATGCCAAAATGGTTATAACACCTGTAATGCGAGAGGACATACAATGGTGGGCAGAAAATGTCCAATCTATGAATAGACAAATCGTAAAACCTAATCCTACAATAACTATTGAATCAGATGCTTGTGGTTTAGGTTGGGGTGGAACTGATGGTAAAGTTCATGTTGGAGGTCGATGGCTGGATACTGATTTAATGGCTACTAAAAAATTTAATATGAACTACCTAGAACTCTACGCCGCTTTTCTAAATTTGAAAGCATTCTGTAAAAATATATCTGATTCCCACATTCTTTTAAAATTAGACAACGTTACTGCCATTACGTACATCAACAATATGGGAGGTACAAAATCTGAAAACTGTAATGAATTAGCTAAGGATATTTGGCTATGGGCTAGGGAAAGGCGATTATGGCTTTCTGCTGTACACTTACCAGGTACTAAAAATATTATAGCCGATCAAAAATCCAGAAAGTTCCGGGATGAATTGGAATGGCAGTTAAACAAAACATTGGTAAACAAGATATTTCTAAAATTTGGAAAACCACATATAGACTTATTTGCTACCCGTACGAATACCCAATTGCCAAAATATGTGGCGTGGAAACCCGACCCGGGTGCGATTTTTTTTTCCGTACGAAACATTTACATGAAACTCCACTCGGGCCGTCTCGGCTGAATCGACCCGAAAATCTCATTGCAGAATTCAGGAGGTCAAAAGGTCATCAACAGATAAACGTCTACAGAACAACTTCTGAGAAAACGTCGCTGTCTAATTTTTAAAAATACATTGATGTTACCATGTTAATACCAATGGGTCGTTTAAAATGACATATAATATTTGATTAAGCTGCACACCAGGTACTAAAAATATTATAGCCGATCAAAAATCCAGAAAGTTCCGGGATGAATTGGAATGGCAGTTAAACAAAACATTGGTAAACAAGATATTTCTAAAATTTGGAAAAACCACATATAGACTTATTTGCTACCCGTACGAATACCCAATTGCCAAAATATGTGGCGTGGAAACCCGACCCGGGTGCACTTGCATGCGATGCATTTTCATTAAATTGGGGGAACATTTATTTTTATGCGTTTCCCCCATTTTCTATCATTGGTAAATGTTTAAAGAAAATCGTGGAGGATAAGGCACAAGGGATAATGATTGTCCCAAACTGGCCGACCCAGCACTGGTATGGTAGATTGTTTCAGTTGTTGGATGAAGAACCTCTAAGAATACCAAATTCGATTAATACGTTATCGTTACCAATGAGTGATAAAATTCATCCTCTGTATAACAAACTAAATCTCATGGCTTGCAGGTTGTCAGGGACCAACTTATACGAAGAGGCTATCAAGATGGAGAAATAAATCTCATATTATCGTCGTGGCGTCCTTCTACACGAAAACAATACAACACACAACTTTCTAAATGGTTTACATTCTGTGAAGAACAAGATATAGATCCACTGGTACCAGAAGAATCAAATGTTATTTTATTTCTATCCGAATTATATCATTGTGGTTTAAGCTATAGTGCTATAAGTTCTGCTAGGAGTGCAGTATCCACTTTACTTGAGTTATTAGGGCAGCCGATAAATAATAGTGTTAAGGTTAAACGGGTCATGAAAGGAATTTTTAATCTTCGACCAACCTGTTCTCGTTATGATAACATATGGGACTGTAGTATTTTATTTCATTATCTCCGACCACAGCAAAACGAAAGGATTAATTTGAAACAGTTGACCCTAAAAGTAGTCACTTTGTTTGCATTTTTATCTGCTAGTAGGATTCAAACGATCAAATGTCTGTCAATTGATAATATGGAACTGACTGAGGATAAGGTAATTTTTCGTATAGGAGAGTTACTAAAGCATAGTAGACCTAATTTTTCGGGCCATATAGTTGAATTAAATACCTTTGTACAAGAGCCAGTAATTTGTCCTGTTAAAACACTTTTAGAATATTTAAAAAGAACATCCAAAATTAGGAACACATCAAATCAACTTTTCATTTGTTACAAAAAACCTCACAGAGAGGCATCCAAGGACACTTTGGCCAGATGGATAAAAGAAACTTTGAGGGCCGCCGGTATTAACACCAACGTGTTTAAAGCTCATTCTGTTAGATCAGCTGCTGCATCAGCGGCAATTAGAAGTGATGTTCCAGTGGAGTTTATTATGAAACAAGCTGGATGGTCTAATGAGCGAACTTTACAAAAATTTTATAACAAACCACTTGTCCAAATGCCATCGTTTCAACAATATATTTTACCAGAAGATTCAAGTGTAACGTAATTTAAGAAAATTTAGCCTAGTTGGTGATTTTGAATAAAATTTGGTTAACGATAGACCTGCCTATCGATATTTTTCTTTTATTGGTTAGAAGAAATGATCTCAGACTTTCAATATCTCACAAGAATCTCTACCACGAATTACGAAGTGAAATGTAAAGATTAAACGAGAACTTACCTGTTCGAAGTTTGATCGTCATTTCACGGAGTAATTTTAGTGGTAGAGATTATGTGCCCACCCTGCCCGTCCCTTTCTGTTCGGAACTGGGTTATTTTGTAATTCGTGGTGTGTTTACGGTTTCTTCTGAGCTCATTTCTATCGTTCAAGACTGATTTGCGCATGCGCTAGGCTTATATCTCACATAATCTCTACCACTAAAATTACTCCGTGAAATGACGATCAAACTTCGAACAGGTAAGTTCTCGTTTAATCTTTACAATCTTCTGCTATTTATTTTGCCGACTTCCCCAAAATTCATCGAAGCGCGAAATCAAAACAAACCAGCCTTGTGGAGGAATAATGTATGTTTTAAAGCCCATTCCCGGCAAAATTTCAGTTTTTAAGAAAAATCTAATTTTTGTATAATGTTATAAAGATTTATAAATATAATACGGAATTGCTAGTTTAACTGAATTTAGACATTCCTAAGAATGAAAAAAATGTAAAATAAGACTGAAATTTGATTTTTTGTGTTTGTGTTCCACACAAAAAATAAATGCGGATGAATTTTTCATTTTGATTTTGCGATAGGTCGTGAGAAGAAATATCGTAGGCGCCGAAAACATTAGCCTATCCAGCGCTGCTAGGCTAGGCCTAGCCTTACCTCGATTTAGGTTCTGTTATCACACATAAAAACGGCCGACATGATATTTTCCGTTGCTATAGTATTGACACTTGTGAAATATAATATTTCATAGGAATTATTTCAAATTTGTTAAAAAACTGATGCTGACTGAGATTTTGACACTTAAACAAACATATCTCAGCCTTAATCGAACGACCGCATTGTGATTGAACGACCGCATTGTGCGAGATACGAAGTACAAAAACTAATCTCATTAGAGAAGGCGCACTTTCAAGTATACATAAAAGGGAGAGTATTCCAGTGGATGCGATCTACAACCTCTGAATTTGCCTAGTAATGATGAATTCGTCCAGAAAATGGTAATATTTTATGAGAAATAGTCTGTATTTCACATTTTTTATTCTTTTGCGTAAACTAAAATTCATGCCAATATTTTTCCATGATTTGTAATAATTGGAGTAATGCAAATGAATATTTTCTAAAAAAAGTCAGGGCTCATCAAGTTGTTGATTATCATAATCAAAAAGTTTGTTCAGTTTAAAAGTAGCAGAAATTAATTTTGAAGAAGTAATCTGAATGCAATACAAATGAATTAAAATAAATATTACAAAAATATTTGCGGATATTGCTTTAGATATTCACATAAGGTTGTTTGTTGTTTTTTGTTTTGTTTTGTTTGTTTGTTTTTTATAAAATCTTAACAAATTTCTTTTCTCTTTCCCTATCTCTTTCTTCAGAAAAATGAGGAAAACGCGTCCGGAAATACAAAAGGCGTACAAAGAGAGGAAGAAATTAAATGACCCTTCATCTCTGGAAAATTAATGTAAACGACAAGCTGATTATCGTGTACCTATTTATTGATGATTTGACAGATACGTTACCATACATGTTCCTAACTTTGGATCATAATATGTATATTCCAGTAGAATTATTTCTGATTCTTATCTTTTCATCGGGGTGATAATGTCCGAGTGCGTGTTTGTATGGAAAATAAATCCAAAACGACAACCTTCTGGGTTATATATAGCAACTGCTGTTAATTCGACTCTTCCAATCCAGAGACAAAAACTGTTGACAGTGGTCATTATGAATAGAAAATGTGGGTTTTTTTCTTGTTTAACCATTAATGTCATTACAAAAACGTCCTTACAGTGACTGCACATCACTAAATGCAGTTCTTAACTGCAAACTTGCATTCATATCCAATGATTATATCTGAAACCAACCATTTTAAAGAGATAAACTTGTGGTAACGTATCTGTTAGTTTATTAAAGACAGCTAAGAAGTGTCAATTTTTAAATGCTTTTCCTCAAAAATTGGGTATTGTTAAGAATCGCCCATGCATTGTTTCGTGTTGTGCAACTATTAAAGTTTATAATTTTGAAAGTTTGTCATGAGTCATTAGTGGTTGATATTTTAACATTTTTGAGACCAAACATGAACACTTTACCGGAGAATGTGCCAGAAAATGTAAGAAGATGAAAGTTGGAAATATACTGTCTGTCCATGGAGCTCTCATCTGTCCAAGATAAATATCCCCATTTTGATATTGACTACAGGAATGTAATTCCACTCCATACCTCAAATCATGCCAACATCTGCAGTCCCAGGATTGATTTGGCGTTTATTCAAATTAAAAGGGGGGCGCTTATTCAAACGGGGCGCTTAAGAAAATTTTCACGTGCTGTTATGTAGGCGCTTATTCGAGAAGGGCGCTTATTCGCGCGAGTACGGTATTTTAAGTCTCTATATAAATTATTTAGGTTGTTGAAGAAGTACTAAGGAAAAGTTTGGAGACAACCTGTACTACTAATACTACTTTGCCTAGAAACGAGAATGTGTCAACAGAGAATGCTGCATCTCTGTTGTTATCATTTGCTAATGATTATCAACATGGTTAATAAAATTAATATTTTCTATAGTTAGACACTATAAAAAAATATTAGTTATTACACTATCTATGCTGGAAAAGTGATGAAAGAGGGAGGCTGTTTAAATTTACTTTTATTCTGCTAAAGCCAATAACCCTTGGGCTGTTTGCTGGTACATTGATATTAAAAGTAAAATACATAATTGGGATATTATACAAAAAATATCTACTAGCTATTTACTGAAAAATGAAAAAAAAAGTGTCAAAACATTTGTTTCCTAAAAGGAAAAAAAAAAAATTTTTAAATATTTTTTGTTTATAAATGTATTAAAACCAATCATTAAATTTGTATGTATGATGTCAAACCCCATCCAAATGATCAAATCCTTTTACTGTATTATAAATTTGTCTTGTTTAAACATAGAAATGCAAAAAAAAGGATCACAAAAAAGAATGAAGATCAATCAAGAAAACCGTTTGTACAGACAAAACCGATAATGATCACCAGAGGTACAATTACATTTAGTCATTTCAGTATCCATTCATTCATTCATTCATCAATCATTCATTCATTCATTACTTTTTTCATTATATAATTAGATTTAATGATATTGTTACTAGTATTTTCAGATACAAATTGACGTGCAGACGAAAAGAAAAATATTGTTTTTGAAGCTCAGCTTTAGAATCTTTTCATAAAAAAGTAAATTTTTTTTTTTTTAATCAGAATCTCAGACTGATCCTGTAGTCATTAAGGATGTTGTTGGTGTACTATCATTGCCTAATTCACCCATAGCTACATCCACACCTTATGTTAGTGAAGGAGAATCAACCCCACTTTGTCAAAGTGATGGAGATAAAACATTTAATCCAGATGACACATATCTTTCGTAAGTATGATAGTATATTATAACTGTGTTGTTAAATGACTGAAAAAATAAAAAATATGTTAATGCTACACCAATAAAATTCATAGACCTATTTGTAAAATCCCCATCAAGTTAATCTATTGGTTACAATTTATTTTATACTACTATTATTATTAAGGTTTGACAGTGATGACAGCAGTGCATCAAATAGACCTGCAGACGAAAAGAAATATATTGTTTTTGAAGCTCAGCTTCTGAGTCTTTTCACAAAATGTCAATCTTGCAATGCTGAGACAAAGGGAAAGATTGTACATAGGATTGGTACATTTATTGTGATACACAAGCAATGCAGAATTTGTGATTACACCAAAGAATGGAGCAGCCAATCTATGGTGAGAGATACACCAGCAGGGAATATGCTAATGTCAGCTTCTCTACTATACTCTGGGTCCTGCATGTCAAAATCCTTGCGAATGCTAAAATTCCTTAACTTGGTATCAATTTCTGAAAGAACATTTTACAGACATCAGGACATTTTCTTACATCCATGTATCACCACTGTATGGCACAATGAAAGATAAAAGTCTTTAAAAGCAGGTAAATGCTCTGAATCCTTGGTGTTAGGAGGTGATGGAAGAGCCAACAGTCCCGGCCATACTGCTAAGTTCGGCTCTTACTGTCTGATGGAGCTAAATAAATACAAGAACTGTTTAGATGATTTTAATATTTCAAAAAACGGCAATAATTACAATTAGTTATATATTAACTTTATATTATAGAAACCATAGTGTGTCAAAGACAGTGATACAGGCCTAATATTCAAACTTAACTTATGCAACTCTTGGAGATGTACTCTTAAAACTGATTTTAAAAGTTTGCACTTAAGTCTCTGTGTATAATGAATCCTACTCCTCCTTGACTATTTTCATTCCCTCTGGTGTAGAGTATATTCCCATTTTTCGGTTGATCTAGGTTCTCACCATTCGTCACAGCATTCGTCTCGTTCTTCACAATCACGTACCAACTATGCGCACACGTTTATTAGCTAGAAGTTCACAGTTTGATTTAAAAGATAAATTGCTTAAGTTGGAAGAAAAACTAGCGGCTATGAAAGTGGAATTGGAATTTTCGGATGAGGAATCGAAATTGCAACAATTGCATCTTGATAATGAGACTATGTTGAAGCAACTTTATCAAAAAATAGAACTGGCTAAACACAGGCTGTTTTGGAAAAGGTAAAAGAATTTGATTCTGATTCAGTTACGCCATTCATGGAATTACCCAGCCAGCCGGCTGATGTTAGGGTCCAACAGTATGTCGATCTAATACCAAAGGATTTGACTACTAATAATGAACATAGTGCAGTACATATCGCATCATTATCTCAATCTATGAGTGAATTCTTCATCATTTGTAAAGTCACAATCTACGATAGCACAGATTTCACCACCTTGTGTGCAATCTCAACATAGGATAACTCCGATTCCACCATCATTGTGTTCAATCTCAAACCATGACTGTGCCTATTTTATCACCATTTGTTCAACCTCAAGAGGTTATTTAGCCACAGCCATTTATGCATGAATCTTGAGTTATAAAACATTTGATTCATTAAGGCTACCGAGTGTACATGTTGAAAAAATTTAATGGTAACCCTTTAAAATATCTTATTCTCATCCAAATTCTCATCGTTGATTGAGGCTAAAGCAGTATCAGTTAATGAGTAATTAAACTTACTAAGCCAACATCTTTCGGGAGAGCATCTTGCTATGATCAGCAATTATACGTTACTTACAATCGTATTACCTTGCATGCAAGGAACTGAAAGCTAGATACGGAGATAATGCTGTTCTCTGCAAATTATAAAAGTGATGAAACATACTAACTAAATCGTGTATGTAGCGCCGGGTACTGAAATAAAAAAAAACAAAATTGAGGGCGACTTGCCCTCCTTTTCCAAATTTGTCCTCTTCCTTGTGGTTTTTCTTCTTCCCAGTTGGCATTGTTTTCCAAATTTAATGGAGATCACCACATCCCCAATGTTTTTTTGGTGTTGATTTCTTTTTACAGTCATTGTTTAGTGTTAAGAAAAAAAATTGAATGAGGAGACACAATAGAAGCGGAAGGAAAACAAATTTAAACAGGGAAGAGTGTAGTAGTGCCAGTGCATCGTCACATGACATAACGGGACTTACTTTTTGGTACTACTTATAACTATACATTACTATAGGGCCTATTGCACTGCTTTCCTACATCAGGTTGTTACAAGAAGCTACATTGATAAGAGCTTGTTTATAGTACTTAAGTGTATAGAGATTGAGATAGAATACCCGTTTTTCTCTATATCTGTTGCTATTTATTTGGATTGTCAATGAACACGTAGGTACCACAATGTAGCCAAAATAAACTGCTGTTTTTGTTTGACCAGGGAGTCTGCAATAATTTAATGACAACTCCCTGAAGATAAATAATGATATATCTAAAATAGAGGCTTGTTGGTTGTCGACCGTGTTTCATCTGGAATTCTCATTTTCCATTTTCATAGAATCACTTTCACTTGAGTTGCGCATGATCTAATTGTTGCATACAAAAGTTTGATTTTCCTCATTCTATTTTTTCATACCCTATTCGCAGATGCTGTTCGGTAGTTTCGAATGCTGAATAATTACATGAGACCTCATTGGTTACTGCACATACTCGACGTCATTGAGTGCATGCTCACTGTTTTGCCAGCATTCCCCAGCGCATGCTAACTGTGTTTTACATGGACATTTTTTGGTAACTGAGCATGTGCACTGTTACCAAATTCTCATTTCTTCTACTTGCATGTACAGGTTCAAACAAAGAAAACGATGTTCGTTTACTTTTCAATATGATAGCATTAAGTGTAACCACTGAACCTGATAAAACACACAAAATATTAATCAGTGGTTTAATACACTAGTCCCCAATGACCAGTAACGGAACTCTAAGCGAGTAAGTAAGTAAGTATTCATATACTGTACATCCATCCTCATCAAGAATGAAGAGTGGCCAGTTAGATCTAGAATGAGCTGGATAATGTAACAAATGAACTATATAGCTGGGAATAAAAGACAGCAGAACACAGGCGTGTCCCTTGACATTTGACTTTATTTTTTAGCTTACAATACTGTCTACAGAGACAGGCATTTATTTCATTGGTTAATTGATTGCCCTAGTTTATTGTTAATGTCATTTACATAAATACATAAATGCATTTCAATTATCTAAAATTAACATTATCAAATAACATTACTGTACCAGTATGATACCTTAAAATGTTCTTAACACTCGTAATAAACTTAATTGACAATAAACTTAATAAAATATTCTCAGTTATTCCTTAAGTAAAAACTTACAAATTATACTTAAGTGACAAACAGATATTTTGCTATATCTCAATTATTGGTCAATATGCAAAAAGTAATATTTGTATCAATGAAAAGGAATAGTTTCCTACATGAACTAAAATATAAGTTTGCTTATAACTCATATCATGTTTAAATGTCATGCATATTTAGAGTACACAAATATATTTTTATAACCTGGTAATCACATGAAAAGGAGGAAAAATGTAATAATCCATTACATATGGTTTATATTGACACATGTTGGAACAAGAGTTAACAATGAGCTACTGTAATAGCAACAGGCACATGTGTCTGTATGATAATCTTTATTTTAAGATGAAAGAAGACGTGAACTTGATTTTTAGTATTTCAACTGCCATGAAATTACATTGTTGCAATAATTCACGTGGAAATCTTTCTTACACATACCATCCCACATCATTTCAATTATAGTGAAATAAATCCAATTATGTGTACTTATGATAATTATACCTATACAGTACTTTAATAATTTTTACCTGACTGAAGTGAAGAAAACTAGGAATAAGAAACAATTAAGTAGCTAGAACAAAACTAAATTATTCCTTATTAAACTTAATACTATCTTTATTATCTTTCAGTACATTTTAATCTAAAATACAATTTTCATTGATAATGTCAGGTTAATAAAATAGCTTAAACAATGTAGATTTTGCTTAGTATTTACTTAATATTAAATCATATTTTTAAGTGAGTTGCACATTGAAGATGATAATCTAAGTTTTTTTTTAATGACTATAGTTTATTTCAACACAGTTTTCACCATCATTGATACAATTATTGTCACTCTTATTGCTGGTAATAACCTTCAAATAATACATAAATAATAATAATAATAATAAATAAATAACAAAAAAGTGATAATAATGTTAAATAATTAAAAATATATAACAATAAAAATTACCACATCATGTAGCTTTTGATTGCAAGACGACGTGACCCTGGGATGGATTCACTCATCTGTGACGGTCCTGCGTTTTCTGCACAAAGTAGATTCTACCTAAACTACATCCTAGAATTCATACGCAGAGAACTAATGTTGTCGCATGGGCAGATGATTCCATAAGACGCAATTACATTCTAGATCTTGTGTTATCATGACAATTAACAATCAATAATAGATGATGATAATAATGATATAATATGTAGTACCAAAAAACAAGCACAAATTATAACTGTTGTCGAAAACATTCACCTTTAGTTGCCAACTCTCATTAAGGCCTGTTTATACTTCATATAGAAAACAAAAGAAATAAGAAGTTATACACTAGAAAGATTCGATAACGATTTACCAGTTATGCGATAACATATTTTGACAAATCAAATCAGATGATGTCATAATCATGGAAAAACATTAAAATCATAGTAGTAGCACAATTTTATCATTTTACCATGATTATGACGTCATCTGACTCGATTTGTTAAAATAATTTGTTATCTATACACGATAAATCGTTATTGAATCGTCCTAGTGTAAAAACATTTCTTATTTCTTTTGTTTTCTATATGAACAATCGCTTTTTAGCTTTTTTATCGTTGAAGTATAAACAGGCCTTTAGGAAATAAACATATAGCAACATTGAAACAAGTATTAAATACCTATGGCACTTTAATATAAAATAACAACCTTATTCTGTCACATACATAAACAAAAATGCTTGTTTTATCATACTTTTTGGTGATGTACAGCATACCAAAGACCTTAGGCTCCATCATACCATATAGCTGAAAGGTCTTCTCATCAAGTGTGTTGTTAGGCATAGAAACAAATTTCTATTATCAATTACAGTATCTATATAACTGGGTATTTATGGTTTGAAAAAATGTAATGATTACATTACATTAATTAAATTTCAATCCAATTTTAGTTTCTGTTCAATATTGGAAACAGTTTGTACAGTGTATGCATAGTATAGCAGCTGTTTGCAAAAAAGTAGAAATTCTAAAAGCATTTTGTATTATTGTATTTCTCTTTTAACCTTATTCACCTTCACAATGTCCAACATCTATACTGTATATTATTTGGCCATGATTTCCCAAGTTACCAGTTCACATGCCTTACTCCATGCAAAAGTATAATACATACTGCAAGTACTGAAATACATGCCATCGCGTTGGGATTCAATATTTCAACATTAATTATGTCATTGTCAGGAAATCATCATTCCTGATGATGACATAATTAATGTTGAAATATTAAATCCCAACATGATGACATGTATTTCAATACTTGGAGCATGTGTTATACCTTATCTGAGATTAATCAGTGGGCTTTTGTCAATTTAATAAGTGACCCGTATTTGCAAAATGTCCTGTCACATACATATCAAACGGATACAATTTATATCCATAGAGCCTTGAGGACCATGATTTAGATTTTGCACTATTTTTTTTTAGTATTATTATTGAAGATAAATCTTAGAATAAGCAACTATAAACAAATTACTTACTAGTGAGAAACTGATGCTCTTTTGCAAAACATGGAACTTGACCTAGTGCTAAGGTGCTCCTACTTAACATACTGAGTGTCCAGCAAACTGTGTACAGTAAGCATGGTCCTTTACAAATCCAAAATGTTTTATTATATTAATTATAGTAATATTCTTTTCATATTTAATTTAATATCATTAATATTGTTATCACTATTGCTTAAAAGTGCAGAGAACTAAATGAATACACAACAAATACGAAATCACAATATGATGCAGTTATCTGTTATAAAATTGGACATTTCAGCATACCCCAAGAAGCTAAATGCCTTAGGGAATGGAACATAGTATTTTGTTGTGATTACTTTCCTGGTAAAACATTATTTTTGATTCATAGTTGTAATTTTTCAATTTCAATGCTCTCTTATATTTTTGAATGTAGGGTACAGTAAATATATTTTGATTACTATATCATCCAGTTTTCTATTTGCAACTCTTTGCAGTATTTGCATGCATGCACTTTAAATGCACCTAGATTTCACAGGCAGAAAAACAGTAACAGTGAATCAATGTACACAGAAACAGTCAAGAGTGTGGGCATAAAGGAGGGATCATGCTTTGTGTCTGTGAATTTAGCTAGGGGAGGGGTGATGATTACAGCATTAAATACTTTCTGAAGTTTTAGTTGTATGTAGAATGAGCTTTGTTAAAATTTAAGTAGGCTTTGGATTATTCAACTAATCTTATCTCCTTTTTTTTTAAATTTCTAATATAATATGTAGTAAGATTAACTACAATCTTTTTGATAAAGATTTTGACAACTTTTCCAAGTGGGTCAACAATCAAAAGCAGGGTTACCAGGTGTCACAAGTCTCTCGCAACTTGAGGGAGTCTCCCGAAAATAGTGACGGGGGCCTCCTGCGAGCATCTCAAAGAAAATAACCCATCTTCCACAAATTTATAGTATTTTCACCGCTTTATTACCAAAAGTTGATGTGTAGCAAAATAAAACAATAATATGTTAAGAAAGCTCATTCACCAGATCAATGGCAGATTCAAGGAGGCAGTTGTCCTAGGATTTACACATTTTTCAAAATTATGAAAAAAGTACCATTTCCAGCCATTTAGTGGTGCCATAATCATAAATGTTCTTTCTCAGCCACAACCATGGTTGGGCTGAGGTGGTCTAAACCTTCAATCTCTCAAAGTCCCTCCTTTCTTTATGTCAAATCAACTACAGTAATATTTCACTAAAATTGCCCATTTTTCCATACAATTGGACCAATTTTTAGTACATGTACATGGGTAGAGGGTAAATTGTATCAGGTCAAGCTTACAAGTGTAAGGTTCGCTATTCATTACATTAGTCTACCTTATACCAGAGGGTGGCTGGTCATAATCACAAAAAGGTTCAATATTTATAAAATTTAAGGGCCACTATTCATAAGATTTGCTAGTCATAATAAAGAAAAAGTTTTACTAGTTACAATTTTATACAAGGACCGATACTCATCAGGTTCAATGCCATAATCAATAAAAAGGGTTTGCTAGTCATAATGTAAACAAAAGACTGCTATTCATAAAGTTCACTAGTCATAATAAAAAATGAGGTTTGCTAGTCATAATATTACATTTTTATATAACTATCAAACCTCTATTTTTATTTTTACTGGCGAACCTTTTTCTTGCTATGAATAATGGACACTTTATTTAACTATGACCAGTGAAACTTTCTTTTTGTATATTATTATTATTAATTATTATTTCTAGTGAACCGTTTAAATACAAAGCTTTATGAATAATGGATTTATATTTGAATTGACTTTATAATAATAACCAACAGACTTTATGAACAGTGGACCTCATGAATAGCGAACCTTAGGAATAGTAGGTGTACCCCATTGTATCTACACATGTAATAACTCAGAGTATCTGGAAATTATCATGAATTAATATTTAGGTTAAAATATCAAAATTTAATTTTTTTTCTTCTTTTTCTATAAATTTATAATATTATCATGTCATCTATATTTTTATTTATTTACAGTAGTTTCTGTATTCCTATAGCTTTGTTTTTTCTGCCTGTCTAGTTTGGATGTGCAGATGGTTTAATACATGCATGTAAACAATGCAAGAAAAGTTTGTGACCACAAGGCAACAGCTCCCAGCACTTGTAAACATAAATATAAAATTTGCTAATGAATTCATAGCCCATTTAGGTGCTGTATGGTTGGCACTATATTTCAATGGCCGATATTATTTGGTCTACTTCAAATTGACACAATTAGGATAATTTGAATCTGATGGCAATACAAAGTGCTAAAAGCAAGTTACACACAACAATACACAGGTACCATGTTACCACATTATGATATTGATTCCTGTAATTTCTTACTTTTAAAATCGTTAAACTAGGGATCAGATTAATTATTTTCTATTGCTCATAAATTCCGCAATTACATTACTTTAAGTTCTATGCAATTGAATGCTGAGTCATTCATTTTGCACTCTCATTTATTAAAAATTTCAAAGCAAATGAGAGAAATTTTTAAAAATTAGGTGTAGTTTTTTAAAGATTTGATATTAAAGTTAAATGTACATGTGATGTTCCTTATATTACCCTTGATAACACTTTAATGCATCTCAAATACATTGCCACAATCTTCTTACATCTGGTCATATTCTTAATCATGTTCGACTCCTTAATCTGCTAAAGTACGGTAAGTAAAAACATGTGCATCCATTGTCTTAACAATATACCCTAGTTGTCTAACAGTTTTTTTCTACCAACTCCAGGAAATCCTGAATAATCCTGCACATTAGAAACTAACCTAAGGATGTTTATTAGACTTTGTCATAGTGTAAGTAGCTTGACAGTCTTTGATGACATCTGACTTCTAACCACCCCTCCATTGCTGATGGTTATAATACCACCATCCCACCCCAAGCCCCAGATGGGCATGTCCTAGTCCTAGTCTCACTTAAACGATGTAATACCCCTTAAGTATCTTAAAACTTACCAGCTATTCATGCACTTAACTAGGCAGGGGTGCAGGTCTTGGAACAAGTTTTTCTGGAAGCATTATGGTGGTTAATGTACTTCCTAGTCCCTGCTCAGCCCTGGTGCGGGCGTTTGTCTTTCATCATTTTATTCCTCTCTAAAATAAAAGATAGTATTAATCAATTATTGTGGTTGGACACTACAAAATTAGATTTGCATCAACTGCAACTTACTTTAATTCAGTGAGTCATTTTTTAAATATATCTTTGTAGACACTAAAAAAGGTCCACTTTTTTTCTGAAAATAATGTAAATTTATTTGTACAGAGGAGGGATCAAAATTGATGTGTGATGTCGAAATAGACGTTATCTGGTTAGAAGTTCAACGTAACCCTTTCAGGTTGTAGCCCATATCCCATACTAGCCAACTGCCTTATAACAAATTTGAGTCAACTTGGCCCCAAGTCAACTCAGCACAGGGGCAGATCTGTTTTGAAAGGTGGGGTGGGGGGTCCAAACATGTTGGGCTGAGGTGCGAAAATTGAGGAAATAGTACCTCTAGATGACTGAAAATGATACTCTTATAGTAAAATTCATCATTATCACATCACCATTATACAGTAATCAAAGTGAAACACAAATTCCTCATGATCAGCGATTTTCGGCTACCATAGAGATCTAGTTCTCTGTGATGTACCATGGAAAATAAAACTTGCAAAACATTACAAATCCTTGTGTTCTGGCAATAAACAGGGTCAGATAGTAAAAGCATCTACTAAAGGACACAATATCATCAACGTTGCAATTACTGTACTGTTAAGGGCACCATAATCGACCTTAAATAATTTCTCCTCTTGGTCACAATGAGCATAACATAATTGAAGTTGTACCAATCGCAGCTTTGAGCAAAAACATTATTAGGAGAACTGTTAGACCAATGCCAGATTCCATGATTTGTGACCCGGACTGATCGGCCGTCCCGAGGCAAAACGTAACTGACATTTTTGTCGATTTTGAGATAATATCATTTGGGAGTATATTAAACACGTCTGAATTACCTGTGAAACTTTCAGGTCTCAATAATGAGTCGTTTCGGAGGTAGCACCACCTATCTTTAAGCACAAAACTTCAAATCTAGTGATTTTCCGTGGCAAAACAATGCAACTACAAGATTACGCGGCAAAACAACTTATCTGCGGTGAAGATACGTCGTTTTGCCACGGAATGGTATTCAAAAATGGTCTTCAGACGATGGAGTTTGTCAAAGCAAAATCAAATGGTTATTGGTGTTTTCATATCAATAACCTTAAACAGCGATGTATGAGGTAATGAATATGGTTGCCCCAAACGTGATAAATTCCAAATATGTCGCATTCGCAAAAATTCCAAGACTGACATGTTTTCGTGGCAAAATCTGTAATTATCGTTAATAACTTTGCAATAAACACATGGTTGTAATTAAAATTTTAAATATAATCAAAATGTATATAGATATACAATCATGCAAAATTTCAAAAGGCTACGACAATTTATTACGAAGTTACGAACATGCAAACTTTAACTCTTATTTTTCTCCAAAATTGAAAATTTCAAGTTAAGTTGTTTTGCCACGGAACGGCCGCGATGGGCTCACGACAATCATTGAATACTGTGCTAGTTAGGCCATTGGACCTCTGTGCAAAATGGCCAATGTGAACGTTAAAAAATTCAGTACAGTCTTCGGAAAAGAGTAGGGGATTGGTTTGAGACACGTAAATCTTGTTTGTTGTGCTTCCATTTAAGATATATGGTATATTGATCATGTTGATATGCTTAAATAAAATTTAGGTTAATGAAATATGTATCAATTTAGATTAGCTTTTCATATGTTTGTTTCTGTTGCGTTTCTATCTAGGTATAAATGTTTATAATAGGGCTAAATATATAATGAATCAAAATAAAGGAAATGTATAATTTTCATATTATATTTTCCATATAAAATTATTAATATTTTTAATTATAAAAATAATTGTTAATAATTGAAAATTGTAGTATTTTCTTGAAAGTTCAACTACACATCAGACAGCACCTACATGCAAATGTCAGCTTTGTCCAAGTCATTTTACTACTAGTTTATGTGTTTGCAAAGCTAATGCGTCCTCTGTGACCTCACTTTTGTTTGTAAAAATATAAACAATAATAATAATCTGTATGTTAAGTCTGCTAATCGCCTCCGCATAACTTCACCTATCTCCAAACACTGGGAATTCTATATGTGACGAATATGATAGGCTTTTTCTAGGCTGAATATTGGATAAAAAAAAAAATTTAAAAAAAAACCACCCAAAATGAGTACTTCGACGGCCATGTTTCGCAAGTTGATTCTGTACGGCTTTGCTCAGAAAAAAAAAAATATCCCGCCAGGCCACAAAAGAATCAACTTCATGTCACCGCGGAGTGTTTCACGTCTACAAAAACATATGAAGCATGATCCCATACCTCTAAATACCAATTACATTAAATAATGAATACTACAGTAGTAGCCCCTGAGCAAGGGGGACACATTCCCCTACCAGTTATGCCACTAAACTGTTGAAATTTCAATGCTTATACAGGTTATGTTCTACTCGCTTATCTATTCTGAAACTGTTGTGCTCCCTCCACACCCCCCCACCCCCAATCCATCTGAAAAATTCTGGATCCACCCTTGATCAAACTGGCACTAATTCCTCACAAGGACTATTCAGCAGAAAAACAAAACATTATTTTCAAAGATGTCCTTTACAAAAATAATGACATGGTAACCACAGCATCCATTAACGATGGCCTCCTCAACTTCCCATAACATTCAACAATATACATCACCACCTTTCCCCACTCATTCAACACCGTGCGGAACACAATAATGAAAATAATAACAATAATAATAATAATAATATTAATAATAATAATATATAACGGTAGGTAGTTGATTTTTATATTTTAAATCATCCTACAATCAATTTATGATTACTTTTACTCTTACCTTTTTATTGAACATAATTCTTTATTAATTCTTACTATAGTATATGAGATTTAGAACAAAAATTTTATAACTTTAAAATGTTATCGCCAGAAAACACCAAAGAAGCACATAGATCGATGGTGATGTATTCACAAATTTTACTTATTTTTACATACCCAGTATTTTAAGAAAACATCAAATGGCAATTGATGACAATCAATTTGTATGTTATTTAGCACCAAAAATAAATTACATACTTACTTCAACCATATTTTTCTTTACTGCTAAACACTATATTGCGATTTTAGACGTTCTCTAAGTGGGACAGGGAACTGGTCAGAAAAACGTCTCCAGTTTTCCTCACCCACTTCATTTTTAAAACCATGCAGGATCTGTTAAAAAGAATTAGCAAACAATAACTACTCCATTAAACATGGAGGAAATAGTTGTCAGGCAAGGCAAATGATGTTTGCCTTGCCTGACGTGTTATCTTACTGCTAGAATGGAAATACTTGCGAAAAAAATATTGCAAGTGATTTGAGTGGAAATCACATGCAAGATTTTTTTCACAAGCATTTGGGAATGTACTGAGCATTCAGTACAATAACACATCAGGTAGGGCAAATCATTCATATTAATGGAGATTATATCTAAAAAATCTCAACATAAGGGTGATCATATGCTAAATTCCAGATAATACTTTAACTAGGCTCAATATATTAATTGATAATGAATGAATTACTTCATCTGTTGTTGCATTGTGTTGCAATTATCAGAATTGACTGTGGCCATGAAATATATTTCATATATAAAGGTATACCTTTTACCTCGGAGGATAAATATTGTCACTATCTTGAGACAAATGCATTATGAAAAAACGTTAACAGGGCATTGGTGCACCTCTCCCCCACTCTCCCACCTCAGCAGTAGTATGGGTACCAAGGGGAAACTTTGTGACATACATTGAAGACATTGTTACATTACCTTGAAGAACATTTCCTTGAGGTCTTCTTTTGGGTTAACCCATGAGGCTACAGCATCACAAAAGAATATAAAATCCTAAAAAACAAGAAAGCACCAGAGTACAATACTGACAACAATTTCCTAGTTTCTTCAGTGAATATAGTTATTTAAATTTTATTAATATACTGTAGAATTAGTGTTCCTCAAAGAAAAAAACGTACTGAGTATTCAGTTCAATAAAACGTCAGGGCAAATACAAAATTACTGAAAACAATTACTTCAGAAATAAAATAAAAAATAACATTTTAGCAAAGAAAAATGTAAAGTTTCTAGAAATTCTAACAGACCTTTTAATTTTAATGCATTTCAACTCCATGCATGTACAGAAATTGCATTTCTGTTGTGGTATGACATAATTTTAGATTACAAATAAAGATGTTTTAAAATAATATTTTGTTGTAAAAATGTATATCGCGATGACAACACGGCGATGGTTTTCTTTTTGTTGAATTCAAAATAAAACTGTCTTCTGTGCATACGTGTCCATATTATGTACAGTTAAACTTGCCTAAGTCGATTTTGCCTAACTCAAATAATTCCTAAGTCGAATTTATTTTACATGCCAAATTATTGTGTTTTCCATTAATTAACAATCTGTAAGTCAAATTTTATCTAAGTCAAAAAATTCTTCAATGGCATTTTGGATTCAACTTAGGCAAGTTCAACTGTATAGCGTAAAAATAGCGTACAGGGATTTGTTTTCAACTGGTGTACTGTCCAACATAAAAGAAGAAAATGCATTTGAAAATGGCTAAACATTTAAAATCACAGCATAGCACTGAATATTAAATTAAAAATTTTTTTTTTCAAAAATCTTCCAACAGGAATGCTTTGTTCCTACTTACAGGTGAAAATGGCAAAAAACATCAACAATATAATCAAAACTACAATATCACAAGAAATAAAAACATTTTTTGAATATTATTAATATTACTAGGCAAAAAAAAAAAATTGTTGTGTTGCCCTTAAATGGAAAAAATCGAGATCGAAGGTAGGTCAGTCGGTCAGATTTTTTTTTTTTTTTTTTAGTAATAGGCCTACAAAATAGGATAGGCCTGAAACTGCAGTCCCTATTATGAAGACCCTAGGCCTACAGTAAGGGCCTAGAGTCGTAGGCACCACAATAGAATGATGGAAAGCTTGCCAAACAAAAAGTATTCAAAGTAAACTTTAAGAAAAAAAGAGAAAAATGTTTCGTTTATGGTTGGCCTAAACCGTAAGCTATGTACCGGTTTCAAGGCGATGGCTAGACCTAAGCCTGTTTTTATTAATTGTCCAATACACCGTAAGGTAATGAATACGATTTTTTATTCAAGCAACCACTAGTTGTATAGTAGGCCTAGTAAAAAATAGGTTAGCTCAGGCCTAGGCATAGATCTGGTTCTGGCTTGACAGCTCAGCGCGAGAGAACCAATGTTGTGTGCATGCATCGTCGCCGCGCTCGGTTCTCAAAATTATGCCTTCTATTTTACCGATTTCATGCGTACATATACTGTAATATGGCCCTATTTTGATAAAAAAATACATGTCTGTTTCAGATTTTATGTTCTAAATGTTAATTTCGGAGGGTATTGCTCGTACTTGAACAAAAAAAAAATTTAAAAAAAAAATGCCGACCCGATTTTTTTGAAAATTTCGGTCAGTCGCAGAGGGCAACACAACATTTTTTTTTTTTGGCCCTATACACACACTTGCTCTCATCTCTCATTGACTTTAGTAAAGCGTTTGATGTTGTTGATCACAAAATTGCCATTGATAAAATATCAAACTTTGCGTTGCTTTGGATTGCCATTTTTTTTTTTAGTAAACGGCAAAGATTGAAATATAAACGCACACTGTCAGAGTGGATGAAGTTGTCTGGTGGTGTTCCCAGGGAACACTACTAGCAGTTATATTCCTAGTTATCATTAATGATGCTCTCTATGATTCTGATATTGCTGGGATCCTGGTCTGGATATATGTTGATGACCTCACCATGGGGGAATGTACTAAAGTGTGGGAAATGCAAATATGCAAACACTTCTCGATAAATCAAGTAATAAATTAAAACTAAACCCCAGCATAGTCTATTTTGGTTACCGACAACTTCCAGATCTCACTATTGGTAAAATTCCATTAGTGAATGTTGTAAAACTTTTATGTCATGAATGTTTTACTTCACTTAGGCCTATCGGGTCTACAACTAATGTGAAATGTGTATGAACCCTACATGAACTTACTGTTTCCAAATTGGCAACGAGAATCAATGTAAGATGTTATTTTTTTCTGAATAAATAAACTACAGTACCAATAATTAATAGGACAGGATAACTTTACAAAAATCCATATCTTTTTGGGATTTTTAATCTTTCATTAAAATTTGGCCTAAATTTATTCAGAACATGCATGTTCCTATTTTTACTAACATACCGGTTGCCATCAGATTGAAGCGCTTAAAAAAAGTTTTTCGTAGGAATCATTTGTGACATGCTGGCAACAAGGTGAATCCGCATCACCAGTTCTTGGTGCACATGCTGAATTTTAGATTTAAGAGCCAAATCTACCAAAAAACATATTTTTTATGACTTTGTTGGCTAAATTTAATAATATATGTTTTATTAAATAAATATGAGTGTTTTTGGAATTCTTATCACCAAGCCTTGGCTCACACAGAATATATCACATCCATATCTCCAAAACTGTTGGTCATAGAGACAAAATTTGGCCAAATCGTATTTTGAAGCTAAATCATATTATTTAATGACATCTTATATCGTGAATGGGCTGTTTCAAGGCTGAATTTTGGATTGTAGTGCCAAATTTGACCAAAAAATGTCAAATTTTAAACATTTTTACCCAAGAATGGTATTTTGGAGCTAGTCTGTCACTGGAAGCTTTGGATATTTTTGGTATCATACAAAAGTTATTAACATTATTTACAAAACAATTTATTTTGTGACCCAAAATTACAAAAGAAAACATTTTTTTATGATTTTTTGGCTAAATTTAATGCTGAAAATACCATTGATTTGGCAAGCCTGGGGTTGAATACTGGGGATCTTGGTCCTCCAAATCTAGAGACATATTTGGTTGTCTAGTAAAATTTCGATTAAAAAAATAACTCTTCATATTACAAACAAAATATGTTTTACTTTTGAATTATAACTAACGGAACTGCTGTGTCTTTGTTCAATACAAAAAATACAGCTATCTCGAGGTTGAGCATTGCATGAAATCTCAAGTTGAGCTGCAGACCATATGCATGTACTGGGTTGTTAGAACCGTCCATTTTCAAACAGGGCATAATATATTTCTACAATGATTAATATCTCGAGGTCGAGTCAAAATGATAGATATAAAAAAGTATAACAAACCTGTACAACTCCATTTGGATTTATACTGATCATAGCACATATGCCACGGAATGCAGAATCTTTCTCCTCGTTGTCACGGATGTTGCGCAAAGAGGTACACCTACATAGATCAAAGAAAATGAATCTATGAATGCAATAGGACATACCTATTAGTTACCAAACATAACATCAACAAAATCTAGGCTGTTGGGTATAAATACAACTAGAACATGCAGTAAAAATGGTGAAAATTTTCTCTGGTATAAATTGTTAAAATCTTGAATTTGATTTCTTAAAATGTATATAATTGTAATTAATCTTTGTCTAGGATTGTATTACAATTCCCCACTGGAAATGTTGGGAGAAAAATACTTACTCTAAATAATTAAAATCACTTAATTTTGCAATTTTTGCAAGCTGGCATCTCCTCAAGCAAAGCAAGGTCCAACAGTTGTTGGATGTCCTATTTACCGTTGTTGGATTAAGAGGTGCTTCGGTCGGTGGCGTATCAATATTTTACATTGAAAAGGGGATTTTTACATTGAAAGGGATGACAGGGTCAGTTTGAGGGGGAAGGCATTAAAGATTAAGTAATGGAGAGCCAACTGGCAAAATGAGGTGATTTTTAACAAGTTCAGTAAAAAAAAAACTGCGCTCTAATATACACTAAATAAAGCATGTAAATCCCTGGCAAAGGGTAGAGCAAAAGAACAGTAGGAAACACAAAAGTCGGAAATCAGGAAAGGCCTCCTTCATGCAATTCGTTCCTGAGTTAATGGCGTATGTTTTGAGAGTATATATTACTGAATATGTTTACCATATACTAAAAGTTCTCTTTAAAAAAAATCAGCTGATTTTGTCACAATGACCTGTCAAAGTTGGACCATCCTGCCAAAAACAGCATTTTTTGGGTTTGGGGGCAGAAATTGAGTAGAAATATCTCAAATGTCATCATCACCATCATATTTTAAATGGCTTGGTAACATGTCACAGGGAAAAAAATTAACTAAGAAAAAACTTCCATTAAATTTAAATCAAACTCAAAAAGTGCATTTTCTTTGTGTACATTTGACATTTTGGGGTCGGGGTGAGTTGTTTAATAGTAATATCTTACTTAATTTAGTAACCAGACACTCATATTTGGTGTATGGGTATCTGGATGGCTTGTTAATACACATGATTTTTGAATTTCATCATTAATATTTATTAAGTATCACAAGTCATCTTGTTTGTATATTTATTCAACAATATTTTATGTGGGTACCTCTTTCAGCCTGGCTGATATGAAGGGGACCACTTTATAAATCATTGACAAAGTAGTATGAAAGTAACAGAAAAACACAGAAAAAAAATTATATAAAACAAGAATATATACATGGAGATAAAAGATGTAGGTACAGGAAAAAGGGGAACAGAGCTAAACCCCGGAATTGAGGATGTGAGATTTGAGTTTGAGTTAAATAATTGGAACGAGGTGGTGTTTTTATGGAAATGGGAAAGAAGATTAATGAGAATTGCGGAAGCTTGGTAGCTGAAGCTATTTATAAAGGTTTTCGAGTTTGGGATGGGGGACTTGTAGTCAGGGATGGCGCAAAAACGGCGGACATCAATTCAAGAAATAATCATGTCGCAAAAGTTTCTGGTTGTGCAATATTTAACATCAGCACTGGTTCAAGCCACTAATAGGTATTCATGGACCACGCCCATACACAATTCAGCACAATGACGCTGCAAGTTATGGGTTATTGTCCTACCTATACAATTTGTTTTAGGAGTTTGAATCGTGGGGTTGAGGGTCTGCCCTAACAAGTTTTTGAATGATAACCTACACAAGTCCTGCATGCTGTGATGATAAAGTGCAGCATATCTTTAACTGAAGTTTTAAACAAATATTTATCTATTTATTGTGTTAACTGATTAACTATAAATACTGTAGTAATTTACAGCAGAGAGGACAGGAAATAATGAAGGTGAGTAGTGAGTTTACTAGCTACATTTCAACATTGTATCAATTCACAGCAAAGTGCAGCTTATATACACACACTGACTGATACTTACCATTGACGTATAAAGTGTGGTAACATAGGAGCTACATCTTCTGGGCAAACAAATCCCAATCGCCCAATTGTTATAGCTGTTTAGAACCAAAACAAGTCATAGTTATTATCTGCTGAGGTTGAGTAAATACTTTATATTTTATGCTTCTAACTAGTTCTCAAGGTCATATAATAACAAGATAGCACTCGCCACGATATTGTAACACAGTGTAGGGCGCTCTCTCACAATTACAATTACTTTTCAACTTTGACATCTACGATCTTCGTGCAAATTCTTTAACAACCATGGTAACAACTAGGATGATTCTCTCTCAAGAACAAATTACTGTCTGCATGAATGGACGCTTCTATGTTATTACAAGTAGAGCACAATCTTGTTATTATAGAGTAAGACCTTTGCTGGTCTTGCACTTGGTATACAGTAGTGTGAATGCAATGTCTTGTATATGATCAAAACAAAACAATTCAACATGCTGGAATATAAGTATGTTTTTTAAAGACATATTAGCTAGATTCACATTCAGAATTTAACGTGATCTAGTGGATCATGATCAAGCCGGTCACATTATGTGAACCAACATGATTCAAATAGCGTGCTCAACTTGATCACCTTATTGTGATCTAGTGGAGCATGTTGATTCATTATGATTAACCTTGGTTAACGTGAAAAATTAATTCATGAGATCAAATTCAACCAATCAGCTTTCAGTTTATTAAACAGGTCCCAAGCTCATTGGTTGTGCTTCTGGTAGGTCCCAAGCTCATTGGTTGTGCTTCTGGTAGTTTTCATGCAACACTGCACACATTACCATAAATAGATCATGATGATGGTTTCTATATGAATGGTTCTTCTCTAACATGCTAAAGTTATCATGATGAATAGATCATAAGTTTATCACAATAACTTAGTGAACTGCCTACTAACACATACTCATAGCTATCTTGGATTATTTGTAAACATTCAGACTATAATCTTAAAGTCTCAATTTACATTTTAAATTGACTAACCTGTATTTTCAAGTAAAGTCTTGGGTGTATTCGGCCTGTTGATAATCTCAATCAACTGACTTAGTACCAAAGGTATGTATTCAGCCATAGCACTGCCTACAAGGAAGTAAACATAAACATTGATAATTTAAGTTACTGATATATGATATTAATTATCAACATTTCAAGTCACAATGCTGTATTTAAAGAAATAATTCAGATCCCTTTCCAGTGGACACAGTGGGCAAGACTTTTTTACACCTTGCTTCGCAAAATTAATTTTTTTAAGATAGTGGAAAAAAAAAGTAAAATGAAATTTAGTTTTCTTAAATAAAAATAAATTTTATTGGTGAATGTAAACAATGGGATGATTAAATGCTTTAAACCTATAAAATTAGGAAGAAATATACTATTTTCAGAGGTTTTAAGGCATTAGCAGGCATAATATAAATAAAAACTTTTATTTTTTTCTATAATTTCCAATTTTAGAAATTGCGCTAATTGGCAAAAAAAGTACTGTATGTCATAATAATGTGCATTAAAAAAAATGTTATACACGTTTTGCTCAGTATGGAATGGGTTAATTTCAAGTTTATTCTCAAACGATTTCATATTGTACGCCTGAATATAAATAAACTTAAAAGTTAAACTGCAAGACAATTTAAAATAAATCATTCACTATTTGACAGGTTTCAAAGTTAATGTAAAAAGAAAATCAGACAAAAACCACCCTGTACAATAACCACCACATCTGCATATTCAAAACATTGAAAGAATCACATGTACGCGTTTACAATTTCCAGTCTCTTATTGGCCAATTATTCGATCATCATATTCTTGGTATCCAGATCGGGATCTTTTCATATGGACGCACGGCATCGTATGGACGCACGGCAGCTAATGGTTAGCCATCACCTGCCGTGTGAGAACATAGCCAAGAACATTGACGCTACTGTCAATGAAATCCTTGCAAGTTCATTTTTTAAGACTAAATTAGATTTCTGTAACTCATTTCTTTTTGGCCTCCCTTAATCAAAACACCACTGCTAGGCTTACCACAAACACACAAAAACATGATCATATTACTCCTGTACTAAAAAGACAGGAGGAGGACAACTCAGGTCAAAATACAAGATTCAGCTCCTTATTAAAAAGACACTCGTGAATCACCAGAATATCCTGTGTAGCTTCTGGATCCCATCAGCCTATGCAGCAAGGTCTGAGATCTGCTGAAAAGTACCTCTTTTCTACACCCTGAATTTTAGGACCTTAACAAAGAAACAACTGATGACCGCTTAAAGCAGCATGTTCAAGGTAATATGTGATTTTACAATTCACCGCTCTGGGTGCGTTTCTCAGAGACAATATGGCTTATAAATGATATATCAGATGATATACATTTAAGATGGTCATTGATTCACTGAGCCATGAAACATTAGGTTATAGACAAAACTGCCAATCCAAGACAAAAAAGTACATGATTTATGGCTACTTTCAGTGTGAAAAAGTTGTTACCGAACATTTTTCTTTACCTACCCTAATGAAGGGAAATCAAGCACTATCTCAATATGGACATTCAAATTTTACAGGAACTTGGTTTTTTATACATGACAATCTACACAAACAGATCTACAATACAATTAATTCTTTTTCTTCTTTGTCTACCTGAGCCATTCAAAATCTTTTATACGAATGCAAGAATGGTAATAATACAAAGATCTCATCTAAGAATCATCCTAATCTATCGCTAAAACTGGATGGAGCGATGCACTTGCGATGTTAACAAAAATCTACTTGAGAGTGTCTACATAACAAACTCGCACGAAATCCGTAATCTCAATAATGGGATAGGGATATTATGTAACTGAGTATGCTAATCAGTTCTTAAATTATACAAAAATTGGTAAACTTCTCCTTTGATGGGTTGCTATCAACTAAACACAGTAGAAACCCTCAATTACGAAAAAATTACGAAAACCCTTATCTTACAGATTTAATAAGTTCCCGATTTTACGAATGTAAAATCAAGGTGATGACGTCACCTGTGACTTTGCTGCGTAGGGCTGTGGGCCTAGCCTAGGCCTAGTTTATGCCAGTGTAAGTAGTACCAGTGCAAATATATAGGAATTTGGGTCAACCCTGATTTTACGAATACCCGCATTTACGAATGGCTCTGGGTCCGTGCGGAATGTAATTGAGGGGTTCTACTGTAGTAATTTTCTTCTTATTTGGAGTTAACACCATGTTATCGCATTTTAGAAGGTTCTCATAAATTGATAAGCTTATCTTATTACCTCTGTGTACTTTCACACTAATTCTTGTGAAAATTTTAAGATTGTCTGCCAACATAAGATCCTAAATTACGAGTATGTGTGTATCAAACAAATATGTGGATCTTACCCATTTGAATAGAAATCTCCCCAATTGCCCAAGTGGCGTTGTTACACACTGAAATAAATTCTGGATTTAAGTTCTGTCCCAAGATTGGTAGAAAGTCAGCTTTATAGGAGAAAAAAAACAACAGAAAATCAAGTTTAAAAAAAAAACAAGAGAAAGCTACTTGAAGCATTTACAAGGTTAAAGAATGCAACCTGATCTATGATTGCTAGAAGAAACAGACTTGTGTTAAGTGTAGCTACACTTTTTGTGTCCAATTATTTTCAATATTAGCAATTAGTGAAAAAATAGATATTTTGATAATGGCAGAACTAATTTGACATGTAGGACATCTTGACAACTTTTGAACATAGTTTATCGTTAACTATGCATTTTGTTTTATCTATTAATCACAGATTAGAATTTTTTTTGTATTTTGAGGTTTACTCTTCTATTTCTAAAAATCCATATAATGTCCAAATAAAGATAATAAAATGTCCCATGTGTCATTTTTATGCAAATTATCAAAATTTCTACTTTTCACTATATCTCAGCAAATGATTGAACAAATGAAGGGTATAGTTTCATGTTCTGATGGTGGTCGAAGATCACGATAGGATGTATCAATAAAAGCCAAATAAAATTGTGTTTTCTATTGGCTCTGTTGTTTCTGAGCCGATCCGAATTAATCTTGCAATTTTTGTTTCCCTTGGTACTGGTCAGTTTTCAATAACGTCGTATTATTTAATGTAAACTTTTGTGCATGCTTTCTGTAAAATTCAGCTATGCTTGGGGAGACCTACTAAGTACTGTTTTCTGGCAGAGTAGGGCTATGGCCCAAGCTCCGATTTTTCATCATTTTTCTGGACTTAATGTTTCATGAAAAATGTAGTTAAGCCAAGTATTCTATCTTTAGCTTACGATGCAATGACAAGTATCTCATCATCCCTCAAACAAAAGATAATAAATAGCAGAAGATAGAGCAGCTTTGCGATATATTGGTATGTCCAGTCGAAATGCATTGTGGTAGAACCATAGAGCTATTAAACAACTAGAGTGCTGACAAGATGGCGGAGCAATGCAGAGTTGTGTATGTGTACCATCCAAGAT